CGAGACCCCCAGGCCAGGCAGATCAGATAACACTGGGGAAGAGTGTGATACAGGGGTCAGTACTAGTAATCGTGATGACGGAGTTAATCCTGGACTGTGTTACCAAGGAAACTCCACTGTGTCAGACTAGAAACAGAATGCGAATAGGAACGTGGAATGTGAGAAGTCTGTATGAAGGAAAGCTTAAAGTAGTATGTGATGAGATTGAAAGATTAAATATTCAGATCTTAGGAATTTGTGAACATCGTTGAGTGGCAAGGGACATTTTATCAATGAATATGGAAGCTTTTTCGTATATTCTGGTAGAGATGTAAGAGGCCAGAGCGGAGTGGCATTTTGTTTAGATAAAACAACAGCAAAGAAGCTATTATGGGATATAATCCAGTTAGTGATAGAATCCTAACTATCAGACTTAAAGGCCGTCCAAAAAAACATAAACTTTCATGCAGGTATATGCACCAACTTCAACAGCAGAGGAGGGCGAAATTGAAGATTTTTATGCCATACTGCAAGACACATTAAATAAAATTAATCAGAATGATATAATAATAATAATGGGAGATTTTAATGCTAAAGTAGGTACAGGCAGAGCTGAAAATGAGAGACACGTTTTAGGAAATTTGGATTGGGTAATAGAAATGAAACAGGAGAACAATTGATTGAATTTTGCATAGAAAATGAATTAACAATAGCTAACACACTTTATAAACAACACCCTAGAAGGCTTTTCACATGGACATCCCCTGACGGTGTTACCAAAAATCAGATAGATATTACATTTTAATACAAAGAAGATGGAGATCGAGCATAACATCTGCAAAAACCCTGCGAAGTGCAGATTGCGATACAGATCATCAGTTACTAGAAGCAGATCTGAAATTAAAACTCAAAAAGCTTACCCGAGGACCAAGGCCATTTCGATTTGATCTTACAAAAATACCAGAATGCATACAACGTAGAAGTGAAGAACCGTTTTGAGGTCTTGATGTCTGTACAAGAGGAAATGACACCTGATGAACTGGCGGTACAAAGCTAGGGATATCTTGATAACAGCAGCTAAAGACTTAATACCCACCAGGACTAAGCAACATAAACCATGGATCACACCATACACGTTAGAACTAATAAAACAACGAAGGGAACTGAAAAAGAAAGGAGAAAACCAATGACAGTAGGATGAAGTATAAATTTTTAACACGAGAAATAAGAAAGTACACAAGAAAGGATAAAAATCAGTATGTACAAGATTGCTGTATTTAAAATAGAGCAGCATCATCAAAAAATGGAAGAGATTACGAAATGTTCAAGGAAATGAGTTATTGACAAGAAATTTTCAACCTCAGTTAAATGTTATTTGTGACAGGTTGGGAAATACTTTAACAGAATCTAGACAAATTCTAGGAAGATGGCAGGAATACTGCAGCGGAATGTATGATATGAATGACAGTGAGGATATGAATGATGATACATGAACCAGTAGCAGTAGAGGCAGAACCTGAACCTTCATTAGATGAAATTTCATGGGCAATAAGGAGCCTGAAAAAATGGTAAATCACCTGGATGTGATGAGATACCAGCTGAATTGGTTAAAGCGGGAGGAGAAGAAAGCATAAAAATCTATCATTGCATTATGTGAAAAGATATGGAAATATGGTATTTGGCCAAAAAGACTGGAAGAGAACTATCTTCATTCCAATACAAAAAAGGGTGACCTGAAATTATGTACAAACTATCGAACTATTGCCCTGATCAGTCATGCAAGTAAAATTCTACTAAAAAATTATAATGAGAAGACTGCATAAGAAAATGGAAGAAGAGATTAATGTAGCTCAGGCTGGATTTAGACAGGGAAGAGGAACAAGAGATCATATATTCAACATGCGTTTAATAATAGAGAAGTGTAGAGAATTTAATGTAAATCTGTTCTTAGTTTTGTGGATTATTCAAAAGCATTTGACTGTGTACAACATCAGAAGCTTTGGGAAATCATGAGGAATATGGGCTTTCATCACATATAGTGCAGCTCATTAAAATGCTCTATCAAGACCAACAAGCAGCAGTCAGAATAGATGGAGAGACATCAGATTGGTTTGGCATCAAGCAAGGAGTCCGTCAGGGATGTGTGCTGTCACCGTATTTGTTCAACCTGTACGCCGAAAATATAATGAGAAATGTAAGAGATGATATAAACAAGGAACAATATGATGCCCTAAACATCGGTGGTCATGAAATACCAGAAATTCGTTATGCTGATGATACAGTATTACTATCAACATCACAAAATGGTTTTAGAAAACTTATTAACCTCACTCCAAAGAAATAGTGAAAATCATAACTTATTTCTTAACATAGCAAAAACAAAGATAATGCATACAAACAAAACTGCCATGGAGAAGGAAATATATGTTAATGAGGGAAAGATTGGAAGTGGTGGAAAATTTCGAATATCTTGGGTCACTGGTTACCAACAATGGTGACACAATGAAAGAAATTAAACGGCGACTATCAATTGCTCTTCAAAGACTAAAACAACTGAATAAATTATGGAATTGTACAGATAGAATTACAAAGGTCAGATTTTTAAGAGCATGCATCTTTCCCATTGCAAACATACGCCTGTGAGACCTGGACACTTACTAAACAAGCGGAACAGCGCATAAATGCATTTGAATATAAATGTTACAGACAGGTTCTAAGAATATCTTGGGTAAAGAAAAGAACAAAATGCATCCATACTTCAAGAGCTGAATATTGAAGAGGGTTGGCTAGTAAAGACAATAAAACAAAGAAAATTGAAATATTTTGGTCACTTGAAACGTCATGGAAGTCTAGAGAGAACAATAATGGAGGGGTATATGCCTGGGAAGAGAGGAAGAGGAAGGCCAAGGAGAAGATGGGTGCAGAATGTGGCAGATGATCTCCAGATGGGTGTATCAGACGCAGGACACCTTGCTCAGGATAGGAAAGTTTTCCGGAGGGTTGTTATGGCAGCGAGGGACATGCTACTGAATGAATGAATCAGCCATGTGTACTTGTGGACTGGCACCTGAAACAACAGATCACATCCTTCAAGACTGTCCCAGATTCAACGATTTCAGGCAAAACCTTTGGCCAAAAGGGACACTTGTGGAAGTCAAACTTTACGGGCCGCTTAGTGAATTACAAAAGACAGTGAAATTCATACTAGAGACAGCTTTGCAGATATAGACAATTTATTTCATGCGAACGAAAGAAGAAGAAGAATAATGGCAGGTACCATATATAGGATCTAGTTTTGTAGGGGTAGCTTGCACCCAGCTGGCCGAAGTGATTGACACACTCCATATTGTTGTATTTTTCTGCAGGAACTGGATTGTTTATTATCCTGCTCTCAGGAATTCCACTTTTCCTAAATATCTTGTCCACAACAATACTGGAGTGAACAGTAAATATCGGGTAAACTCTCTTAGTGTCATGACCAACATCCCTTTATCTTTTCTCACATAAAACAGGTTGATCTGCCTTTTTCTGTTTCAACTGCGTTGTCTTTTTTTTTTAATCAGTTGGCACACATCCAATAGTGTATGACATGGCACCTTGTTGATGTTCGTATGGAGGAAGATTGTCAATTGTTCGTATGGAGGAAGATTGTCAATTGTTCGTATGGAGGAAGATTGTCAATTGTTCGTATGGAGGAAGATTGTCAAACTTAACAAGTTAATTTTGAGCAGCCTTTCTCGATTTCCAGCTGTAGAAATATTCTGGTCTCATGTGCCATGCCCAATTCTGTCTTCAGATGTACCTAAATCACCTCTGTCATCAAATCTATCATCGTTGTCACGAACTACTTTTAGCTGTGATCTGAAGATCCAAGAACTTCGTTTTCAGCACTACATTTGCTGGCAGAGTCAGAATCATCAATACTACAGGTCTGGTTTTCATCATCAAACATGACAAGAAACGCTGAGTATGTGTTGCTAACCAAAATTTCACTGAAAAGAACATTTGTACCAGTTCAAAGCAATAGCAATCATAGGTGCAGCCATCTTGGAATAATAAAAATACCCAGATAATGCACAAATCGAAAACTGTCAGTACGGACGTCTGTTTGCAATCTACATGTCATGAATTCGACTATTGTCAAAGCTGGTCACCAAGAGATATGACCAGAAATTTGACGATTGTTGAAGTTGGTCACCGAAGTGTTGAAGGACTGGGTTGGTTATACTGCACATAGTTCTTTCTGTAGCTGTCTGTCGTACACAAAAATAAAACAATGAAATGCTTTCTTAATCTATGCCAAGCTGTAGTCACATGATACACTGAAACAAATGATGACTCAGTCTCTGCTCAGTCTTGACAAAGCTGTAATCGAACTGAGTCTTAGGAAATGCAGATATACAGAAGAATAGGTTGTATTTCATGGAAACAAAAACAATAGAATACTGAGGTTATGAAGAGACTGATAATGAAAGGAGAAAAACTAAAATATGTTAAATGCAATATTCTTTTTTTTTTTTTTTTTTAAAGTAATTGTATTTTATTTGTGAAACATGTTATGTTTCTATAATAATACACATAATATATTATGAGGAGCAATAAGCTTGAAAATTGAGTGACAACTGGCAGACTAAATGGTAAAAGTACAAGGTGAAGACAAACAGATAAATAATTGGATGGCCTGACCACTGGTATGGATTAGAAAGCTAATCTGATGTAAGACTGGTGATCAGGATAAGATGACAAACCATGATCGTCAACACTTACTGCTGTGGCATATGATGATGAAAAACTTACTCTGGCTGGCCAATTCCATAAAAGATATGAAAAACCAACAGAAATGTGTGAAGCACATAAAGAACAATGCTAGCATATAATTCTGTTCAAATGAGTCTTAAAAGACTCAAGCAGTCCTTATGACAATACCATAAATAGTCCTTGACTTTTACAGTGCCAACACACAAAGCTGTGTTCTGTTTCAGGGCAAGTGAGCTGGGAGACCCTGGGGACTAGCTGATTTTCTACTTATTTTTGGCTTTGGGGGAGGCAGACTGGAAGACACTGCTGGCAGCCATGAGATTCTCAATGTACTGTCCTAGGACCTGGTTCTCCGATTTCAGCTTGAGGTTCTCTACTTTAACTGTGTCAACACGTAGTGATAGATCTGGGGAAAGATGTTTAATGGCAATAGATTAAGTAATAAATTAACTCTTTAATATACTCTGCACCACTTTAAGTGGCTACAAAAACATTGTTGCAAACATTACAAACAAGAAGCTATGTTAGTACCCTGACTTAAAGACTCATCTGCCAGCAAAGTGTCATTTGTGTTTCCACATTAAAGTATCTATAAAAGATCGATCTGGTTTCTTCTTCTCATAGTCCATGCCGTGTGATGTTGGTAGTTATGTCTATCCACATCTGTCTGTCTCGTGTACTTTCAATCAATTCTTCCATGCCACTATGTCAGACTGTCCAGCATCTTCTCTCTTGGTCTCCTTCTGCCTCTTTTCCCCTCAAATTTTCCCACTATCAGAATGTACTTAAGTTTTCTCCTATTCATGACGTGACCACAAAATTGTAGATATCTCCTTCTGATGTGAATATTCAGCTCTCCTCATGAAGCAGTTTCTTTCCAGACATCTTTATTACATTTTTTCTTTGTTGAAGTCTATCCAAGGTATTCTCATCATTTCTCTATATAATCTAAGTTGCTTCTAATTAATTGTTTACGAAACTCCTAATTATGGTTGGTTGGTTTTTGTGGCAAGTAGAAGAAATATGACACGGTGTGGAGAAAGCCGAAAGGAGTCCTGATCGTCGACATACCTCCTCTCAGCTAGAAAACCTCCAGAATTGGCACCTGAAATGTTAGAACTCTCTATGAAATAGGGAGGACAATGGAAGTAGTAAGGGCATTGGAACCCACAGGGGCATATGAATAAAGGAAGGCCAAAAAACACACGGAGAGCTCCATGCAATAGCAAAGGATAGAATATCTTGGCGTGAGTTGGTTGAGGGCCTATGCTCCATTGGGGGATAGAAAGACAGAAGAAAAACGGCCTAATTGTCAATGATCCAGTTTACCAACCTTAAACTGGTTACAGAATATTGGCATGGGCAGCTGGTATTGTTTATAATGACCACATTATTCACAAAGTGTCAGCTGGTATTGTTTATAATGACTACATTATTCACAAAGTGTCAGCTGGTATTGTTTATAATGACCACATTATTCACAAAGTGTCAGCTGGTATTGTTTATAATGACCACATTATTCACAAAGTGTCAGCTGGTATTGTTTATAATGACCACATTATTCACAAAGTGTCAGCTGGTATTGTTTATAATGACCACATTATTCACAAAGTGTCAGCTGTATTGTTTATAATGACCACATTATTCACAAAGTGTCAGCTGGTATTGTTTATAATGACCACATTATTCACAAAGTGTCAGCTGGTATTGTTTATAATGACTACATTATTCACAAAGTGTCAGCTGGTATTGTTTATAATGACCACATTATTCACAAAGTGTCAACTGGTATTGTTTATAATGACCACATTATTCACAAAGTGTCAGCTGGTATTGTTTATAATGACCACATTATTCACAAAGTGTCAGCTGGTATTGTTTATAATGACTACATTATTCACAAAGTGTCAACTGGTATTGTTTATAATGACCACATTATTCACAAAGTGTCAGCTGGTATTGTTTATAATGACCACATTATTCACAAAGTGTCAACTGGTATTGTTTATAATGACTACATTATTCACAAAGTGTCAGCTGGTATTGTTTATAATGACCACATTATTCACAAAGTGTCAGCTGGTATTGTTTATAATGACCACATTATTCACAAAGTGTCAGCTGGTATTGTTTATAATGACCACATTATTCACAAAGTGTCAGCTGGTATTGTTTATAATGACTACATTATTCACAAAGTGTCAACTGGTATTGTTTATAATGACCACATTATTCACAAAGTGTCAGCTGGTATTGTTTATAATGACCACATTATTCACAAAGTGTCAGCTGGTATTGTTTATAATGACCACATTATTCACAAAGTGTCAGCTGGTATTGTTTATAATGACTACATTATTCACAAAGTGTCAACTGGTATTGTTTATAATGACTACATTATTCACAAAGTGTCAGCTGGTATTATTTATAATACATGTGTCCGGTAAACCAAAGTAAGCTTGTCGCTCGGTCGTCCAGGCATGCGGACTGTTCTAATTACGCTGTCGCGGCGACTTCTTATCTCACAGTACCTCCTTCGAAACCACTAAGTCGTCTTGTCTCTGGCCGAAATAATAACACCATCCGGTAATCCCGTGCAGCGGGGAAGCAGCCCTGAGCTTCATGAACTCAGGTGGGCCCACCTCCGAATACGTTTAGGAATCGTGGGCCGAAACGTGTGTCGAAAGAGGATAATTTCTACTGATGACTGTAGATCCCCGCTGTACTTGCTCCCTGTGAGTTTATTCTTATTGTACGTGGCTAGCCCACAAGACTACCAGGAAAGACTGGTGACTATCGGGAAAGTCCTTTTGACACCTATGGAAAGACTGGCCCCCCGGTATCGCCGGGGGGATAAACTGACATCTGGAGACAGATGTCGACTGTGGACCGGGTTGATCACCCCTAACACAGTATAATACCTCCGATTTCGAACAACCACAATGAAATATGCCCCCAGGGCCCTCCGAAAGGGGGGGGGGAGAATGAAGGGCCCAATCTGATTGATACCCTCGTTGATGACTTTGCTAGCCCCCGGACTGAGACACTCGCCCAACGTCCGGGCTGGCTCTGTACATGTGGAAAAAGCTTCACGGGGTTGCATGGTCTGAGAACGCATGCCGGAAGAATGAAATGCGAGGGTGCTCCACGCAGTAAACGCCGTCGCAAAACTACCACTCCTGTGGTAGTTTCTGAGTCGTCAGGGTACGACGGGCAGGGTGAACCCCCACTCGCCCGGAGAGGCCCATGACGTCGACTGCGGAGGAGCACCTTTGATGATTTCTGAAGAAGTGCGTTCCAAGATCAGGTTTCCACCTGCGAGCGAGAAGGTGGTGTGGTGTAAGTTGGAGGCTACATTATGTGAGGTACTTAAACAAACTCTAAACAAGAAGTCGCTAGGCGACAAGCTTACTAAATTTGGTGATGTAATATATGAACACTGCTCCCGCGAGTTCGGGACAGTAGTAAAGACACAGCCGGGTGCCAAGCAGAATACTAGCAGGAGGCAGAGGGACATTCTGAAGTGTCGGGCAGACAAGAATGCCCTCAGAAAACGGTTCAAAGCCGCTACAGGCAGCGAACGGGAGGGGCTGTACGAAGTTTGGTTGCATTTAAAGAACAAACACAGTGCCCTCTGTCGTGCCGAGCGTTTCTGTAACAACAGACGCAGAACCAAAAGGGAGCGAGAGAAATTCTTTAGGGACCCGTATCAGTTCGCCCGAGGTCTATTCGAGCAACCGAAGTCTGGGACTCTGGTTGTCAGTCAGGAAGAACTAGAGCTACATCTACGCAAGATGTACTCGGATAAAAAGAGGAGTGAGCCTCTCGATGACAATCCAGAGATCCTTAGCGGACTCAAACAGCCTTCGGTGCCGAAGGTACCATTTAAACTGGTACCTCCCCTTTGGTCTGAGGTTGAGGACGTTGTGAAAAAAGCCAGCGGCAAGTCTGCCCCAGGTCCGAACGGTGTTCCGTAATTCTTTACAAGCGTTGCCCGAAAATCCTTAAAATGCTTCACGTCTTGTTGAGACAAGCGTGGATCCGCAATCACATATGTCCAGAGTGGTCAAAGGCAAATGGGGTCTACATTCCCAAAGAGCAGGACTCGAAGAGTCTTTCCCAATTCAGGCCCATCTCGCTGTTGAATGTTGAGGGTAAGATATTCTTCTCAGTCATGGCTCGCCGGCTCACACAGTATCTGATGACTAACAAGTACATAGATACGAGTGTTCAGAAGGGTGGCATTCCAGGCGTTCCTGGGTGCCTTGAACACGCGACCATGATTTGGGAGGCTATCCAGAGAGCCAAGCATGAGAGAACCAATTTGCACGTTATATGGTTGGACTTAGCCAACGCCTACGGGGCAGTCCCCCATAGGCTACTGTGGCGAGCCCTTCGCATGTTTCACGTACCGACACAGATCAGTCAAATAGTCGAGCAATATTTCTCTAAGTTCGCTTTGCGCTTCTCTACCTCGACGTTTACCACGAGGTGGACTGAGTTGCAGATTGGGATAGCTATGGGGTGTACGATCTCACCTATACTGTTTGTCATGGCAATGCAGATCATGTTAGACGGGGCGGCCGGCTACGGACTGGGCCTTCAAATAGGGGATCACTGGTTACCGCCACTGCGCGCATTTATGGATGACACGACTATTATAACGGGCAGCGAGGAGTCTGCCCGCACGATCCTGAAAAGATTGGACGCGGTGGTCCAATGGAGCGGTATGCAGTTCAAACCGCAGAAGTCGAGGAGTCTGTCAATCCATAAGGGCAAGGTGTCGGCGACCAGTTTTACGGTGGCAAGGAACAAGATCCCTACGGTTCTGGAGGAACCGGTGAAGAGTCTCGGTCGCGTTTACGATTCGAAGTTATCTGACAGAGCGGAGGTCCGGCGAATACACGAGTCACTGGCTACAGGCCTGCTCGCGATCGAGCGATGCAGGCTGATCGGAAAATTCAAGGTATGGTGTCTCCAATTCATGTTGATTCCGAAGCTTCTATGGCCACTGCTAGTCTACGAAGTGACGATGACTGCAGTGGAAACCATGGAAAAGAAAATCAATACAGCATTAAGAAAGTGGATTGGTGCACCGCCTTGTCTGACCGACGTGGCTCTGTATTGTAAACAGGCTAAGCTGGTACTTCCGTTCAAGTCAATAACCGAAGAGTTTAAAGTCGGCAAAGTTAGGCTCGCCATGCTTTTGCGCGAGTCCTCAGACCCAAATGTCATCGCTGTCCAGCCCGCTCTAAAGACTGGTCAGAAGTGGAGAGTCCTCGATGCGATTGAATCTGCTCAGAACGCACTAAAATTGTAGGAGGTAATGGGTTACACACAAACCGACCGTCGAGGCCTAGGGCACGGGAAAGTCAATTGGTGGTCAAAGGCCTCAGCCAAAGAGCGCCGAGACATGGTGATACAAACGGTGAGGGACAACGAAAACGAGGTTCGGGTCCAGAAAGCAGCCCAACAGTCGCAGCAGGGCCATTGGGTCAGCCTGGAGAGCGCATTGCCGAGAATACTCACATGGGGTGAGATCTGGCGGATGACCCCGCTGCGACTGAGCTTTATCGTTCGTTCGGCGTACGATGTATTACCGTCCGGTGTTAACATGGTTAAATGGTCTGCGACCAACGATCCGACTTGCCCGTTGTGCAAATCAAAGCAAACTCTTGAGCACGTCCTGTCCGCGTGCAGGAAAGCTCTAGGTCAAGGCCGCTATACCTGGCGCCACAACAAGGTGCTAAAGGAGTTAGCAGCCGTTGTCGACCAGGCTAGAATGAGGGCTAACGCCAGAGCCAGTTCTAGTATCGTCCCCATTCGTTTCCTCAAGGCTGGGCAGGTTTCTAAAGGTAAGGTCAACCAAAACGCATTCGCTCCATCTGCGCTAGACTCTGCGAGGGACTGGTTACTGGCGGTTGATCTGCCAGGACATGAACGGTATCCCGAGTTGATCCGTAAAACCGGCCTGCGACCGGACATCGTTCTCCATTCTGCCCAAAAACGGCAACTCATCCTGATTGAGTTGACGGTCCCGTTTGAGTCGCGGATGGAGGAGAATCATTTGTATAAGCTCGAGAAATACAGTGATTTAGCAGCCGGTTTGAGGAGAAACGAGGCTTACACAGTACGGGTATTTGCCGTCGAAGTGGGAGCAAGAGGCCTCGTTTCCACTTCGCTCTACAATGTGGTAAAAGAACTAGGATTGCGCGGTAATGAACGGAAACGAGCACTCAAAAAACTTGGTGAGGTGGCCGAAAGGGCATCTAGCTGGTTGTGGACGCAGCGCAACAACGTAGGGGACGGGCCTCGGTGAGCTGGTCCAGGTATCTAGTGGAAAAGAGTTTCTTATCCCTTTGAAAAGTCCATCGTGTACGAATTGTCTGCCAGTGTCTCTCTGCCAACTGCTAATAAAAGTCCAACATGTGTCCGGTAAACCAAAGTAAGCTTGTCGCTCGGTCGTCCAGGCATGCGGACTGTTCTAATTACGCTGTCGCGGCGACTTCTTATCTCACAGTACCTCCTTCGAAACCACTAAGTCGTCTTGTCTCTGGCCGAAATAATAACACCATCCGGTAATCCCGTGCAGCGGGGAAGCAGCCCTGAGCTTCATGAACTCAGGTGGGCCCACCTCCGAATACGTTTAGGAATCGTGGGCCGAAACGTGTGTCGAAAGAGGATAATTTCTACTGATGACTGTAGATCCCCGCTGTACTTGCTCCCTGTGAGTTTATTCTTATATAATGACCACATTATTCACAAAGTGTCAGCTGGTATTGTTTATAATGACTACATTATTCACAAAGTGTCAACTAGTCTACAAAAATATGAGCCTTACACCGTAAGGCATAAAATTGTAAGCTTCACTTACTTTTAAAAATGAAATATTCAAGAGGCGACCCCACTAGCAATGCACTAAATCCACATGCTTAACTTTCTTGCTTATTCAGCAAAACTGGTGAATACACAGTAATGGCAGCAGGCTCCAGTGGGTGTTGCCTCAAATGTTCACCCGCTTGGAATCAGCCCAGACCTTGAATGAAGATGATGATGCTATATATTGTGCACAGTGCCAGAACCAAGCAAGCAGAGAATCAGCCTAGTCCTAAGAGAAAGCAGATGGCGCTATATATTGGGCACAGTGTGGGAAGCAGCAAGCAGAGTCACCAAACTTGTATTTGAACAGGACACAACTGGAAGGAGGAAATGAAGACATTCAAGAGAAACTATAAAATTAATGTTGAGAAAGGCTGAAATTACTAGACAGCATTCCATCTGTGATAATAAAGACATTGTACAAGACAGAACAGAATGATGGAGAACACTTTGAGATGTGTAAATTGCTCCAACAAAATGATGATGAACATACATGTCTTCCACAGATCATTCGTTTCCAAAGAATTTAATATGAAGTAAAATATACAGGATGAATTCCATTCCAGTATTGATACAAGTCAATTCTGGTGATAGCTACACATAATGGCCTTTCCAGCTACAAGTAAACCTCAAGGGGTGTTATCTTACCATCCAGTGTGTTCTGTCTCTCTAGGACCTGAGCAATCAATTTCTGCTTCTCTTCCTCGTCATCAGGATTTGGATCCAAACCTATCAGTAAACAAAACTTGACAAGTTATGTCGGAACTATTAAAGTAGTTCATAGACTACTATGTTATTATTTATTATCACTTGTTACAATGCTGCTTACATAATGTATGAGGCTGAAATCTTAAAAGTGTGATACATAACTTATAATACCTATGCAATTTTCTTATAACCTGTCAATATTGTTGTTAAGGATGTAAACAGTCTTAAGTCTTTCTGGCCCGAGCAACGCTGTGAGTGTTGATTGAGAAGTTCCGATTTGCCCAAACAACACTGTCAGTGTCAATCATGCGTCCCCTACATACTGATAGGCAAACGGCTCGGTATTCATTTCTAATGTTCAGAACTACCATCAAAGTATCCAGGGAAGGTTACTCTTAAAGTTTTTCTTTGAATACATGTCTTACTTCGCACACACGTGGGCGCAAATTGATCTGATTCATTGTTAGTGCTATTTTTCAGGCAGTGCATTTTTTTCTGTTCAACTGGCCATGTTCCAAACACACGCACAGGCCGAAAAATCGCCCTTCTGTGGCTAAAGCTCTGAAACTGTTTCAATCAGATGTTTTCTAATTGTGATCAAGACAGATTGAAAATATGTTGGAAAGTGATTCAGACGGTGAATTGACACCAGCAGCAGCTGAGCGGTCAGCTGTTCTTTCTGATGAGGTCAATACGGAGGACCCATTTCATTTGCATAGGATGTGATAGTCACCTATATTTGCACCCAAAGCTAAGCTGCATTGAAATTATTGCACTACATTCTGTATATAACCAAAAAGTCAATATTTGTGTGTATAGGACTACAGGTCCTATTTTTCTGCCATTTTATTTTCTTTAAACATTTGTTCAGTATCTAGGCCAACATAGAGCCTCTGAGTGAGAAACTAACCCAGAAACGTCTCATAACTTTTAAATTTGTTAGGAAACTGAACAAAATTTAAAGTTTTATTCTCATATGTGGTTCTGCTCTTTTAGCTGCAGAACCATGGAAAGTGCGGGTTTTTTTGGGGGGTACAATTTTCTCTTTGTAAACATAACACCTGCTGAATTCTTTTTTCCCCACTAATTATAACAGTATTAAACAAAAATATATCATCAGATTAAAAATGTACATTCATTCCTCTTTAAAAAAAAAAACACTTTTATAGGGATTACAAATATATTACATTCCCAAGTGTCGTTTTTTAACACCACCCATCTGTCATTTTTGAAAAGGGAAATTAATGTGAGCCAAGACTATCAAAATCCATGGGCTTTGAAAGAGTTATGTACGTGACATCATAGCGTAGATGATCACAGTGATGTCATAACGACACCTCTGATATGCAACAAAGAGGAGCAGTGTTCTACTGATCCATTTTGTTTGTTTAATCAGTGACAGGCACGCATCACCATAAAGGATCTTTACTTGCTAATAAATTGCTACAGTTTTCACCCTTTTACTGATCAATGAACAGAGGTGGCCATCTTTAAACCGTCAGTATGACATAATCATGTTGTTTGCACCGTGCGTAACACTTCTGACATCTTTAACAACAACAATACTGACAGGTTTCAAGACAATGGTATGGTGACTGTATGGCATGTGTTGTTATCTGCACATGAGACATGGATGATAAGCAGATAAGTTGAAAAACATTTGCTCGCAGTGAAAAAGTAGTTTTTGACAAAAATGGAAAAAAAAAATCATGAAATTGTAGGACACCAACGAGGCAGTCCTCCTTGAGAGACATGAAAGTCAAAGATTGATCAGAGAAATTAGACGCAGATGGTCGGTGTTTTCTGGACAAGTTGTCAGCAGGAATGGACTAGAGAACTTGGTAACAACTGACAATACTGTTGAAAAAGTAAGGCAAAGACATAGAGGCAAGTACATTGATGGCTTACCTATACAGATGAGAAGAGACAAGAACACTGGCCTGTTCTACGATTCTGGTGAGACATGACAGCCAAGCCTTATCAACATGGCACATGATATTGACGACTATTATAAACAAACATGCCATCATTAGGATTGTGCACAGGGAACCATTATAAACAACACATTACAAGTGACCGCAGCAATAACTAAGTTTCACCCCACCAGGACATCACACAGAGTGATAAACACTCGTTGACACAAAGTGCCACCATGCGGATGAGAGGTCCTGGAAACTCCATTCAACCATTAGGTTATATTAGGGTCCCCGGCAACAGCCAGGGTGGGGCTTCAAAATAATGAAAAATTGCATTCCACATGGGGACGGCTTTTAGTAGATATGACCGCAGCTACATGACACAATGAAATAGGAGCAGGGGACGACCAGCACAAAGATGCATACAGGATATTAGTGACACCTTGAGGAAGAAAATGCATGAGTCAGGAGAGCTGGTGAAAGACTGAGTTTCTTTCACTTAGACCGTGATGAGATCGATCTTCAGAAAAAAATACAAAAAGAAGATGATTTTAAGCAAACAAATGGAGAGATGGCAGAATAATATCCATAAATTCAGTTTTATGAAATTACAAATAGACCTCACTGACACCCCTATCTCAATCTGATCACATAATAATTCGTGTAGAGGACAAAAAGAAACAAAACATACAACAAATCCACAAAAGCTTACTGATTGTTCCTGTTGTATATGGAGCCATTTTGGACCGCTCTGTTTCATGACCATCTGTGTTGTAAAGAATACAGCAGTGTGAGTTTATTATGGAAACTAAGTTTAGAATTAACTGATATCAAAGCACTCTGGGCATTGCCATAAATATTCAGTCGTTACAATAATGGTGCCGGCTCTAATCTTATCTTTCCTATGAGAGTTGAGTGTTCACAAATCTCCTCTCATTACTCCTATTCACACCATTCTATCTAGACCAGGTGCCGGTAGTCATAACAAAGTGTGCAGACAAATTATGCCTAAAAAGGTGTTGGCACTGCCAGAAAAAAAAAACATGGTTAAAATAACATAACCATGCCACAGAAAGAGTTAAGTTCCAAACATGAATAAAGTAGATAGATGACTGCAAGAGAAGATGCAGAAGAAGATGTTAAAAAATGTACATCATGTAAATCAATAAAAATTCAGCTGATCTCACTGGTACCAAAAGAGCACAGCACCAGCAAAGTATGCAATAAATGGTATTAGAGCATATTCCATTCTCCTTAGAAAAAAAAATCTCAAAAATGTTCTTCGATGTGATTTGATTCAAGAACCGACATCACAGTACTCAGGGCATTCCCACAAGCACTCCATCCCCATCTTCAGTAGCCAGCGAAGAGTTTCGATACTAGTGGTGCCAGTAGCATTGTGATTAAACGTCCGTCTTACTTTTCCTCTGAGCCTCGAGCATCTGCCAGAAACTCTCGTCACTCCCAACTGCATCAATCTCACCAGACTGTGGTGATCCATCTGCTCCTCCGAACTGTACAAGCTCTCCCACAAGGCACTAACCATGTCTGCCTTATCTTGCATCAGTATTCCACCAAGTTGTGCAGAGCCAGCCAGTCTGTCTGTCTATTTCCCAACACAACGGCATGCCCTGGTAAAAAAATCCAGACAATACTCCTCACCCGTGTCTTCTGCAGCGAGGCATGCCACTCTGCACGAAGCATGCCTCTCTTGATCAGCATGCTTTCTGAGTCAGTTACAATCACGATGTGTGTGTGTGTCATGTTCTCTAGCCAGCGGAAAGCTGCAGTGACCGCCTCCACCTCCATTCTTAAGCTGGATGTTGTGGTATCATATGCTAGGCTCTCCTGCACCAAAAGTCAACCATTAACTTTTGCTAAGAAACCCCAAGCACTTCTATTGCCTCTTGACACTAAACCATCTGTGTAAATGATCAAATCTTCTGAGGGAGCATTATCTTGAATTAATTGCTGAATTTCCACCTCTGGGGCATCTGCTGGCCAGTCTCTGCATTCCCGGCTCAGCGTAATTATGACCCTACACAAGTCTGACTGTTTAGGTGGCACTTTGACCTACTCCTCTCCTCACCTAATGTTCTCAAGGATGCAAACCTGTCTGATTTTGTCTTCTGCCTGACCATGTTCTTCAACCTGCTGTTAGCCAGCCAAAGTCTCCTACAGTCTCTGTTTACATTTGTGGTCTGGTTTATTTGCGCCACTTTTGTGGCTAAAGTTCTGGTGTTTGCACAAGCTCCCTGGCTAAGTCCTTCTTCCCTTAAAGTCAGACCGCTCGATCCTTTCCTGTGTCTGAGTGTGTTTCTCCTGGCCTATATTTTTGACGTTTTTCTCTTAGTTCATGCTCCTTCTAATTTGGCAGAGAAGCATGAAGGATGTAACAATACCAGAGGCACAGACTGATATATGCCTAGCATGGTAATGCTTCTTCTGCTAGTTTTTGATTCTTCATTGTCAACAGACCAAATGTGTAGAGGCAAAAGTATCATCAAGTTGATAGATGAAGATGACATCAAGCATGGAGCAAGCACTTTGTAGCTTCAGCAAAGATTCCTTTTATACTCTTCCTCTCTTCAGCCTCTTAATGCAACCAAGCCTGGTATATGATACAACAACATCTAGTTTGAGAATGGAGGTGGTGGTAGCCACAGCAGCCTTTTGCTCCTGACTTATACACTTGAGAACCAGCTGAACACATGTGACTGTAACTGACTCATACACTTGAGAACCTGCTGAACACATGTGATTGAAACTGACTCATACACTTGAGAACCTGCTGAACACATGTGATTGTAACTGACTTATACACTTGAGAACCTGCTGAATACATGTGACTGTAACTGACTCTTACACCTGAGAACCTGCTGAACACATGTGACTGTAACTGACTCATACACTTGAGAACCTGCTGAACACATGTGATTGTAACTGACTTATACACTTGAGAACCTGCTGAATACATGTGACTGTAACTGACTCTTACACCTGAGAACCTGCTGAACACATGTGACTGTAACTGACTCATACACTTGAGAACCTGCTGAACACATGTGATTGAAACTGAATTATGCAGTATGTAGAGAAAGGCGGGGACAGGTAAGCATCGCCTTAGAGGACTTGTAAAGTTGGCATCCTTCAGAAATTTTCTTAAGGGTGTGCAGGTGTGGTGGAAAATGAACAGACAGAAAGACCGGATGGCTCTCCTTGAACACAGGTAATTAACCCTTTGGAGATGGAGCTTTGTTGAAGTTGCAGCGCAAAAAAGATTAAGCCTTTAGGGAAGAATTCTCTTAGTTTACACACACACACAAATTATAAAAAATAAATCGCGTAATTAACATTTAAAAAACGATACATATTTGGGGACGAAAACGAATGAACTTACAGAATATATATGAATCAAACTGAAATCTCAAAATTTATTGAAATTAACTATTATGATTTGCATAATTTATGTAAGCAACCTGAAAAACTAACCTGAAATATTTGAGTGAAATTTTTTATGGATAAAGCCTGAATAAGCCCTAAGACTTGTGTTTTGGGGAAATAGGGCCTATGGCGGCCATTAACACACTTCTGACACATGGTTCTACGTATTTTCATGCCTTCTGCTATGTTTCGGTTGCTATGATGCAACAGGCCTTTTTGCAGTTGTTGGGCACAGGTAAGCCCACATAAAAAAAAAAAAATTGCTGTAATATTACATTACAGAACATTTCAAACTTTCTCAAAAGCCATCATTAAACAGCCCACATGTGTAAAAAATGCGAGAAGCAATCTGATTGGCTGGTACAAAAACCTGCCAGCCAATCTCATGGCTTTCATTGCATAGTGCCAACCAATCGGCCTAGCCGACCTTTTGGCTACTTTGCGTTGAGCCGATACATCTTCTTCTTCTTCTTCGCATTCACCAGCTGTAAACTCTGGCGGAAGGTTCTGGTTGCTCGTCCACTACTGAACTGCAGTCCTGCTCCAGAAGCTGAGTGTTGCGTGTGCATCAGTTTTACAGATCTCATTCTCTTGAATACAGACTGTTGGTTCCTTGCCTCTCCGGCAGATGTACTCCGACTTCAAAGGAAGCTCCCCAATTAGTCGACTCTTACGACATGCTTTTGGGGAGGCAGTGGGTCTATTCTTGTTTTCCCCACAATGGGGCCCCGGAACCCACACGGGGGAGCCGATACATGTCAACTGCGGACTTCGGTGACTTAAATTGCGCTCTTCCGGGGAATACCACCACCGCCAAGAGTATCTCCCACGCCACTTAGCACGGCATGGATTGGGGCTAAACTAGATGACTGGGACTCACGAGCAGCAGCTACCGCATCTCCTGCAGCTTCCTTCATTTTATTTGCTCGTAAGTCCCAGCCATCTAGTTTAGCCCCAATCCACGCCGCTACGAAAGGCGTGGGAGATACTCTCGGCGGTGGCGGAAGTCCACAATTTACATGTGACCGAGACGCTGTTAGGGTATATTTTTGGCCTCAATTTGGGACCGTTATTTGGAAGACAGCCCACGCACTTATGGACTTTTCCAAATTAAAATGAGGATAATCAGTCGATTAACTAACGCTGAGCCAATCAGTAATAGTCAGCAGTGCAAGCGTATAGTATATACATACTTACATAGCCTGCAGATTGGAAGGTCGTGGATTCGTGCCATGAGGATGACGTAGCCGGACTTTTTTCCAAAAATACCTCAACTCCTAGGTCGACCCAGACTTAAGTGGGTACCAGGTGCAGTCCTGGGGAGTTAAGGCGGCCGGCATGATGCTGACCATATCACCCACCAAGAGCTGATTGGTCTATAAAAATATAGGCCTAGCCTTATACTCCCAATATGCAAAAAGGCGTGGAAAAGGGTCCTTTACTATTTACATACTGCTGGAATATCTCCTGTACATGAACCACAGACTAGAATAACGGCTATCCTCCGAATAATGGGCACAAAAGATGGCGGCCAATGGTGGCCAAAAACAGGGCCTGAGTCACGTGTCAATTATGCACTTCAAACGACTTAATTTGCGGTTTTTTGGTGACTACCGCCAAGAGTATTCCCCATGACGCGGATTGGGGCTAAACTAGATGGCTAGGACTCACGAGCAAAGCTGCAGGAGATGCGGAAGCTGCTGCTCGTGAGTCCCAGCCATCTAGTTTAGCCCTAATCCACGCCCTTTTGAGCGGCTTGGGGGATACCCTCGGCAGTAGTCACCGGAAAACCACAAATTAGGCGGGATACTCTCGGCGGTGGCGCTAGTCGACCGAAAACCGCAAATTAAGTCGCTGGGAGTGCGCAATTGACACGTGACTAAGGCTCTGTTAAGGTGTTTTTGAGGACGCCATCTTGTGTGCCCGTTATTAGGATAGCCTAGAATAAGTATACAATTATTCTTTTCTTCTTCTTCTTCGCGTTCACCAGCTGTACACTCTGGTTGTTCGTCCACTTCTGGACTGCAGTCCTGCTCCAGAACCTTAGTGTTGCGTGTGCATCAGTTTTACAGATCTGATTCAATTGAATGCAGACTGCTGGTTCCTTGCCTCTCAGGCAGATGCACTCCAACTTCAAAGGAAGCTCCCCAGTTGGTCGACTCTTATGACATGCTTTTGGGGAGGCAGTGGGTCTATTCTTGTTTTTCCCACAAAAGGGCCCCAGAACCCACACAGGGGTATACAATAATTATATTGGCTATCCTCCGACTAACGGTCGGCAAAGATGGCGACCGCAAAAATCCTTTCGAGCCACAGTCGTGT